TGGGACCCGACGGGCGAGCAAAACAACAGAAGGCGAAAAATAAGCTTAGTCTGCTGTACGGGCCGAACGGACGGGAGTGTACGGTACGAGCAGCTCGCAAACCGCGCGCTTTCGGCTCCGAGCAGATGCTCATCGAGCACCTCCGGGGGCCGGCGTCATGCCAGGCAGGGGAGGCTTGGAGGATGGAGGGGATGTGACCCCAGCCCTTTAGGAGGTCACGCTGCGGTGTGACCGTCAGGCCAACTACAACCTATAATACACCTAGGGTAGGAGAGAAGTCAGAAACTGCCTCATCTAACTCCCTCGGTTAAAAACGAGGGAAGTGAAGGCGAAGAGATCAGGTGATTGCCCAGCAGTGCAGACACTGCGCTGGGTCAGTTCTGTGCCTCCTGGATCAGTGACTTGTCCACTAGGCCAGTGGGCGGGGCTCCCCTCAGCCCTCAGTCCTACCTAAGCCTGAGAAGTATCTCTGGTCCAACAGCGTATAGCAGACAGGCTGATCCCGGCCCAGAGCCTCCAGCGCTTGTCCCCGATGGAACTCTTCTGACAAGATGTCAGAGGTGGGACTGACCACCGGGGAAGAGCTCCAAGACATCTGGCAGTTATAGAAGGCCAGGAAGCCGCCACCGCCGAAGTGCAGGACCAGCCTGGGAGGAGAGAGAGGAGAGGACACGCGTGAGCGCAGTTACGGCGGCGCCATCAGCCACACACGGTTATGACAGCATCGTCAGGTCCCCAGTGCGCAGAGCGCCCACTCCGCGGTCAGGACAAACCTGGGGAAGCTAAGGTCCCAGGAGGGAAAAGGGATGGCTCTGCCAGGATCGTAAAAATCTCAGGGCTAAATGGAGTAATTAAAATACAACTTATACATCTCTCCTTCTTCCTGATCATTGCACGATGTGCTCGTGGAAGACAACCTGGGACATGCAGGAAAGTCTCAGGTCCAGGAGGTGGGGCTACCTGCTCAAAAGCAGGGCTTGTTAGGAAGAAGGACGGAAAGGCGGATGCTAAAGACTCAATGCTCCCAGTCCCAGGCCAGATTTACCAAGAAAGACACCCCCACACCCTCCCGCGGGCTTCCCAAACTCCAGGGACAGAGGAGAAATCTTATGAACCCTGATAAGCAATAAAGGGTTACTCTGGGAGGGAAGACAGACTATCACTGGACTCTGAGACTCGCATATCTGACCTGGGTGGTAGCTTATGTGAAAGGAAAGGGACAACTTCAGAGCAAGGAGACTCAGAAGAACACCTATGCATGGCATCTGGGGTAATTACTCAAGGAAGACTACCTCCCGATGGAAATTAAATCGACAAGGGTCTCAGGATGCAGGAGTTGGAAAGCAGACATAAAGATTAGCACCATGCTCTGCGATACCTATTGTGAGACCCGAGTGGCTTGAGAGCTGCAACCCAAGTGTGAGGAAAGAATTCTCCAAACAAAAGACACCCATTTTAGTGTGTTTTTAATATTAATTATTTTAATCATACACAATTAACAACATAGTTAATTCACGATCTGGAACTGAAATTCTAAACTATCTCAGCAAATGCAGGAGATGGGGTGGATAGCACGGAAAAGCAGAGACGTATTTTAAAGGTCTCATCTCGGAGGGAGGGGGAAGGAGAGTGCGCAAAACACTGGTGTTAATAAGGGAGATGATTATTAATCTAATGTTATTAAAAAATGGATAGTTATTAACTGAGGGGGAAAAAACAGGTATCACTTACAGATAAGGTTATTGCCAACAGAATGGGGATGAATAGCAGTACTTCCAAACTAACAGGGGTTACAAAATAAAAGAAGAAAAGAAACATGACAAAT